GAGGGGGGAGACAGACAGAGAGAGAGAGAGACAGAGATTGAGAGAGTGTGTGAGAGAGAGGGGGGAAGAGATGGAGTGGAAGAGATGCAATGTATATATGCTGCCCTTTTTGCGCCATAATCGGGAGCTCAAGAATAGACTCAAGAGATACTCCATGTTTTCCCTATTGTGTTCATATTGAATCGGGTGCGATTTGAACATGTTATAAATGTTTAAAACAGCATGCATCAACTCCCCGTCTCGAGAAAAGAAAGAAAAACAAAACTTACCCGCGGAGGTAGCGCCGCCAGGTTGATACGGTGTCGTAGAGTCAGGTGAGTCGGTAGGGCCAGCCGCTTGGCGTCCTCCACCTTTCTTAGCGCCTCGCCGACTACGTCCACGTCCAGCTCCGCCGACAGTGTGTGGAGCCGCTGCACCAGAAGTAGGAGCAGATTGTGGTGCACCCGAAGTGTGCATAGCCTTGTACTTCGACATAACCTCATTGAATGCCTGTGATTAAAAAAACATGTCACATCACCTGCACAACAGAAATGTCTAGCGTAATCAAGAACATGATTTCCATACTGCCATAAGCTTCATCTAACGATGTTACCTAAAACCACGCATTTATAAAGTCCTAATAAGTACCTACAATGCATGTTGCTACATGTAGCTGATTTGTCAGAATGTACCCTAGTTATCGGCTACGTTTCTAGAAAGGAGTCAAAATCACAGAATATGAAAGACATACCGGGATAGATTTGGGGTCTCCCTCCCAAACAATGAAGCGAATTTCACGAAGTGAGCCAGAGGGATGCTTTCTGCAGTAGTTCACCGCCTCGTCAAACATGGCCTCTGCCACCACGTCATGCGGGAAGCGGAGTCCTCCGGTACCCATCGCAGGAATCGCGATGGAACTGTAGTTACCCTTCTCAGCTTGCTGGAGGCACTGACGCACGATCTTGCGAAGAACCTGGAAAATGTGTGTTTATCATATATATTAAAGCTCATCTCTTTAGATGGTCATGAGAGGCTGGCCACTCAAAAGCTAAAATGTCAGCAAACACATACATGGAATTTATCAGCTATGCATTAACTGACATACGTATACCGTTGCCTGCATTAGGGTTTTTTTAACGAGTGCACCACAAACCTTTTCAGAGTTCCCTTGCCCACCGTCCCAGCTGCACAGGACACAGTGGATCACCTGCTTACACGACAGATCTGCGGAATCAGTGACGAGAATCTGACCATCAGGCAGAGATGTGATCCTCGCTCTCTGCTTGGCTCGGTTGACCAGGGCTTGCAGGTTGGTGCCGGCTAGCTGAAGGATGGCTCTAGACACTGCGCCGGTGTTCAGATCCAGGTTGCCAGCCGTAGTGTTCACCAAAACGTCGACCTAGACAGAGACATCTTTGAACAACTGTAGGCAAAGCTAGATGAACAATGATGATAAAGACAATCTTTAAAGATACAGTACATGTACGTCTGGAGTAGTGTAAACTAATCATCAAAGCTGTCTCTGTTCACTGTTTCCTGTTTCTAACAAGACAAATCGCACAAAGTTCATTCGCAGAGAAAGGATGGTAGACATCATGTACTTACATTTTGACTTGCAATGTTGGCTTGAATGGCAATGATTGCCTTTCCTTCTGTCGTACGAAAACCAACATCAGCTACAGGATCCCTGGTCTGTCTGGGAAATACAAGCGGTGTTGTTGTAGATGGACCACCCGGTTGAGACCCACGCCCACGTCGATTTTTTCTGGGCTGCTTTCTTGTAGTTGCTTGACCAACTTGTCGGTCACTCTTCTTGACTCTGTCGTCGCCAAACGCTGCTACCAGCGCATCAACGAAGGCGCCCGCCGTCTGGTCGTCGATGTTGACGAACTCTATCACTTCTAGAGTTGTATCTGGATTGTCGTCCAAGTATTCAACCGTCGTCGCCACAATCGTTTCAGCACACTTTTTGAGTGGGTATCCATAGATTCCAGAGCTGATCGCAGGAATGGCGATTGATCGATAGTTGTTTTTAGCCGCTTCGTCAAGGCTGCCGTCGACTGCATCGGCAAGGTCATCTTCCTCTCCGTTACCCCCGCCTTGCCAAATCGGCCCAACCGCATGCAGAATCTGTTGACAAGTGTTTATACGCCCAGGTGGTGAGGCCACTACTTGCCCAGGAATCAGCGTGCCGTTCGCTCGAATGTAGTTGTTACAAAATTGTTGAATTATGTCGCCACCGGCGTCAACTATCGCCTTTGCGAGCCCTCCGGTATGTTCCAGCCTTGCATTCGCGGCATTGACAATGACGTCTGCCTTGTGTTTGGTGATGTCGTCCCCCCAGACGACAAGCTTCTTTCCGTCATCCAGATTGACTACAGCCTTCTCCATGGGTACCAAAGTTGGAGACGTCGGCATGAACTGTTTGGCAAACGTGTCTGGATCTGGTGCAGGAGTTTTGTTCATGGCATCCTGTATGTTTATGACGCACTTGCACTTCCTCTCCACATGCTGTAGTGTAGATCTGCCCGAATCTTCTCTGAAGTGCTTGGACATGCCGGGCTTTTTGATGGACATCTGGTCACTGATCACACTCTCGATGTAAGATTTCAGAATGGGGTCAGCTTTTTGAATGCCATCGCTGTTTCCTTTAATGCTCATTGTTGGACTTTCTTCACTTCCGTCAAAGAGGAGGGATACTTGGTGCGTCTCCAGCTGGACTTGCAGGTTGGCTGCCTGGTGCTCTTTTATAAAGCGGATTTTCCCGTCATCGACTTCTACTTGCTGCTCATAGATTGTCTTGACTCGAAGGTACGTCTCCACTCTATCCTTGATGTCTTTGACAAATGCAGAGGCACCGGTGAATAAGATTTTAGTTGCTCCTGAGTCTGCATTGCTCTCCACTGATATCTTCAACAAACCTTGAGCGCTTTGTTCCAGAGCTGTCTTTGTAGTCTTCCATTCCTCAGAACGTAGTACCGGGGTAGATTGGTGGGGGACATCAAGGCGTTGCTCTTGAAATGTGTTGTTTAGGATAGAGATTGCCTTCTTCACGTCACCGTCACTTAGGCCGTAGACTTGTACTTCACCTGCAGTAGTCGTAATCACGGCTACCACAGAAGCTCGCTTGTATTCACCGAGAAGGTGTTGCTTGGGTTCCTTTGCGTTGGCTAAGAAGGAGATCAAAGTAGGAGACAGCTTGACACGCTGTGAGATTACTCCTTGGACTGTTTCATACATGCTCATTTTCGTTTGTTGGATCTCGTCCAAAAGACCATGAAACTTGACCTTGCTTCCATTGGTGTCAAACGACATCTGCAGCTTGGGAAACTTGCTCGTCATCCTTTCTTTGAAGTTGGACATCGTTAAGAGTCTGACTTGTTCGGCCTTGAGTGTGCTGACAGTCTCGTCCACTTCTGACTGTTTCCTTTTGATGTCCCCTTCTATTTTCCTCTTCCCTTCCATGACGATTTGGTAATGCTTGGCCACGCTATCTTTAAGGCCGATGAAGGTGACCTTTCTGTCGCTTGTGCTGCGTACGCTGATCTTATCATCGTCCTTCAAGGTGTCATCATCAATGAGTTTACAGACCTGTGGCCAGGATGCTTGCATGACATCGGCGATCTCCTTTGTATCAAAGCGTGCCAGGAAATTCTTCAGTCCGTCCCTTGCGTTAGAAGCCCAGTTCTCGGCGATGCCCGCCAGATTCGGAGACTTCTTTGTCAGTGTTGGGGCGATCTCCATACATGATTGGTCACCTCCGACAGGCCAAGTGATGAATGAGTAGACCTCCTCCATTGCATCATCTAGAGCTTGCTTGAACTGCCCGTGCGTCATGACGAATGAAGCTATCAAATGAGTGACGTTAACGGTGATTGGAAGAGGCACCAGCTGTGGTGGTGTTTTTGCTTCGGTGACTGTTGCACCCAGGCAGGTGTAAAATGGTTCCACATTCACTTTCTTCTTCTGTATGGTGTGAGCTTGTTTCAAGACACGTTCAATCACTGAAAGAGGATAAACGTAGCTGAAATAAACCATGTGGCTCCTTTACAGATTTACTTTCCAACACAGATAAACCTATACGTTTTCACAAGAAATGTTTATCCCATTATAAAAAAAAATAATAATATGCCGATCGGTGCTCACCGTTGTGGTCGTCGAAGAGTACCAGGGCTGTGCCTTGGTCTTTGTCCAGTTCGACTTCTGCCACAGGACCGCCGCCGCTTCGCCTTGTATTCTCGAAGTAGTAATACAGGTTGTCTTTGGAGGCTTTCGGAGGGATTCCCGTCACTTGGATGCAGTTTGTGGCGCGCACTTTGTCGGCGGATATCGTCTGTTGTTCTAGTTCTCTTCCCTCACATCTCGCCAAGAGCGTGTCTAGAGCTGGAACCAATGAAGAAACGTGAGTTTTACCCAACACACATTGCACACAAACACACACACACACAAACACACAGAGAGAGAGAGAGAGTTAGAGAGAGAGAAAGAGAAGCAAATTTAGAAAATATTCCATAAGCATTTAAACATTTTATCATAACAGACAAACTTACTTGAAATCGGCTCGGTGAAAGATACCATGACAGTGCCAACATCTTTTCCGTAGAAAATCTCAGACGGTTCGTTCTGGCCCCTGCTCATTGCCTCGAGGAAGAGGAACAGGGTTTCTTCAGTGACCGTGTCAACGACGCCTTTCAGGAGGATCCGGGTCGGATCTACTGGCAATTCTGGCCGGGGCTTGACAGTCCGGACTTTCAGCTTCTTTCTTCCAACCTCATGTGGTGACTTCTGCATGACCCGTCCTGGGGCTTGAAACGAAATGAACATTAGTATACCAACCTAATCAGCATGAAGGCATTTTGTATCATATGCATTTTAACATTGAATTCATACTTCAGATGATATAGTGTTAGTTTGTAGTACCTTCCATGTCCTCGAAAGTGATGAGAAGGTGCCCCTTCTCGGTGTCCATGTCGAACTGGGAGATGTCACCACCACCGGATCGTTTTGTGTTCTCAAAGTAGTAACGAAGCACGTCTTGCATCTTCTCAAGTTCGTCTCCAGTTAGGCCTGTCACTTCGACCGCCACTGTCTTGTCCTCTTCCTCTGCTGACAAGGAGAAAAATCTAACTTGTAATGCAGTGTTTATGCAGACTTAAACTAATGTTTTCCAACATGCTGACGCTGAATTTGTTATGGTCGTATTTCTTTATAGCCTGGGTACCATCCTACTTGTATGCCGGGGCTCCCACACTGGCTTCCCTAACAAGTATTAGGGAAGCAAGTGTGGGAGCCCCGGCATACAAGTAGGATGGTACCCAGGATAATTTCTTTAGCATTTTATCCTTAAAATTGGTGGTGAATTGGTGGCAAAATAAGTATCCCATAATTATGATAGCTAGATCGTACCTTGATCATCTCGCATTGTCTCTTCGCCTTCCCGTGGCATATGAAGCCGCATTTGTTGAGGTGGGACCGGTCTTGGATTCTCATGGGCTTTTTTCAACTGTTCGCAGGCCATCTCAAATGAGGCTATTGGTATTGTTGCACCAAGGCAGGTGTAAAATGGCTCCACGGTCACTTTCGTCTTCTGTATTTTGTGATTCTTGTTCAAAACACGTTCAATCACTGAAAGAAAAAGAAAAGATTGAAACAAAATAAGCCACCTTAAAAAAGAGTAGCCCCTACACACATGACTTCGGCGTAATGTACATGTGTACACATCCTAGTTATAGTTCCAACCACATCAATGACTTACAAGTATGAACCATAGTTTCATAGTATAGTAAAAAAAAAAAAAATTGAGATAATGGCAATGTTAGTTTGTACTCACCAGTATGGTCATCAAAGGACACCAGGGCAGTGCCGCGGTCTTTGTCCAGCTGAACATCGGCCACAGAACCTCCCCCACTTCGTTTAGTATTGTCGAAGTAGTAACGGAGATTGTCTTCAGATGTTTTTGGAGGGATTTCAGTCACTTGGATGCAGTCCGTGACGTGCACTTTCTCAGCAGATATCGTCTGTTGTTCTAGTTCTCTTCCCTCACATCTCGCCAGGAGTGAGTCAAGGTCTGCAACCAATGAACAAAGGAATGTTAAGAGTTGCTTTGAAACTATTGTCTTTCTTAAAGCTGGTTGGCATACATGTGTGATGCAAATGTTCAAGATCTATTAACGCCATTCACAGCTTACCTGAAATCGGCTCTGTAAAAGTCACCATGACAGTCCCAGGGTCTTTTCCGCAGAACACCTCAAACGGTTCGTCTTGAAACTTGCTCATAGATTCAAGGTAGAGAAGCAAGGTTTCTTCCTCGACCTTGTCAACCAAACCTCTCAGTAGGATTCGAGTTGAATCTACTGGCAACTCTGGGCGAGGCTTGACTATTCGTACTTTCAGCTTCCTTTTCCCAACGTCATGGGTTGACTTCTGCACGACGCGTCCTGGAACTTGAAATGTAATAGAAATTTCAGTATGACACCATTTCTTCATTTGTTTGGTTTGCATGTATATCGAATGTTCTCCACTATTATCTTTTAATCAAAATTTGACTTCTATAAGAGACTCTGAAAGTAACAGAAATTAGACATGACCAAAACCAACGGGCACGGGCCATATACCAGCTCACACTCTTAGGTATGTATATTGTACCATACACGTGTACAAATATGTGTATGAATTTGTGACGTCAAATGGTGAAAACTATTTCTTTGTTACATATTTTGCCTGGCCCTTACCTCTTACCTCTTCCCTCGTGAGCTTAATGTAAAGGTCTGAGCCTGAATAAACAATAGTTCAAACAAAATAAGATACCTCTCTTGAATATCTAAAGGAAGTGATCAAAATTGAGAAGACGATTACCTTCCTTGTCTTTGAAGGTGATTAGAATGCGTTCCTTCTCGGAATCTATGTCAAACTGGGAGATGTCCCCACCACCGGACCGCTTTGTGTTCTCAAAGTAGAGACGAAGGACGTCCTTCCTCTCCTCGAACTCGTCTCCTGTTAAGCCTGTTACCTCGACTGCCACTGTCTTGTTCTGTTCATCTGCTGAGAAGAGGGACGTTTGAAATATTATATATCTTGTTTTTAGGATGTGAAGTCATGTTGTATGGTACATGTTGGGCAACACTACATTTTATCATTACTTTTCAAAATGATATGAATGGAGTCTGTGGTAGATAAGCAGAAGAATGAATAACGCAGCTATGATCGTCATGCATACAGTACCTGGATCATCTGTATTTTCCTCTTCGCTCTCCTGTGGCACACCAGGCCGATCCTCTTCATTTGGTTTCATGTACAGTTGACCTTCTTCAGTTTGGGGGACTGGAATTGGACTTTCGTGATCACCGATGATCCCTTCTTGCTCTTCCTCCACATCGACAGGAGACATCTCAGTAGAGTCGTGTTTCAGCAAGGTTTCTTCCTCTGTGTCCATTTCTTCTTGTTGATCCATCGGTGGCATGGTAGACTCTTCTCCCCCTTGAGGTGGCTCGGTTGCGGGCACGTGTTGACCGGGATATTGTCCATGGTCTAGCCATGGGTAAGGATAAGGCCATTGGTGTGGCGGCGGTGGCGGCATGTAAGAATGCATGGAAGGGTACGGGTACCCAGGATATCGGTAAACGTATGGATGTCTGGGGTGAAAGCCGGGAGGCTGTCGAGGTCCCGAAGCTTGTGGTGGGGGAAAGCGATATTGATAGACAGAATTTGGTGGTTGATTCTGACCTTGAGGTGCTAGGAACTGGTAAGGGGGCCCGGGGTAGAAAAATCCGGTTCCACTTGAGGGTGCTGCAGATGCTGATGAATGTTCTTGTGGTTGTGGACGGCCCTCGTTATCTGTGCCAGAAGGTTGCTTCTCTTTCGGTGTGGTCATGTGTCCCGGATATGTGGGCAGTTGTCCAGGTCCTGGAGCTTGTAGATGGGGATAAGGTCCATGAGAGGATGAGTTTGGATTGGGAACATCTGGTGGAGGTTGGGTCTGGTCTCCAAGTTGTGCCTGTGCTGTCGAGGCTGATGAATCTTCTTGTGGTTGAGAACGGTCCTCACTATCTGTGCCATGAGGTTTCTTCTCTTTCGACGTGGTCATGTATTCCGGATATGTTGGCATTTGTCCAGATCCTGAAGCTTGTTGACTGGGAAAATCTCTCTTAATGGCAGGGTGTGGGTACTGGACCTCTGCTGGTTGTGGAATCTGTGCTTGTGGATGAGATTCTCCATGTGGAAATGGGTAGGGGCTTTGAGGGGGGTTGTTTGGATAGGTCACTTCTTCAGAGGGTGCTGGCGAGGCTGACAAATTTTCCTGTGGTTGAGAACGGTCCTCACTATCTGTAGTTTCTGAGGTTTGCAGTTCTTTCGATGGAGTCGTGTCTCCAGGATAAACAGTATCATACGGAGGAGGAGGATGTGGAGGATGATGTGCAGAGTCATCCTCTTGGATGTTCATACTTGGTTGTCCTGGAATCTGCTGATGGCCGTGGAACGATGGATAGGTTGGTGGGCCATATCCTGCTGGGTAGGGATATATCGGGGGCATAGATCCGTATGGAAGGTATGGGTTAGATGTAGGAACATCTATGGTGGGTACTTGTGTTGTCTGACCGGGATAAGATACGGGATGATCGCCAGTGGATTGAAGACCAGCTGTCTTGTAATCAGGGTGCTCCTCCTGGTCCACCTGGGTAAATAAGCTGAACTTCAGAACTCCCGACAGTAAAATGCCTGATTATGACAGGTGGGGATTCTTTGGATATAGAATGCATTGCAAAAATCAGTGACAAACCCTCACACATCTTAATTGGAACAATTCTGCGTATCGTCATTGTCACACTTCTGCGTATCGTCATTGTCACACTTCTGCCTATTTTCATCATCACACTGTGTATTGTCATAGTCACACTTCTGAAAATCGTCATTGTCACACTTCCTTGTATCGTCATTGTCACATTCTGCGTATCGTCATTTTCACGCTTCTGTGTATCGTCATTGTCACACTTCTATGTATCGTCATTGTCACACTTCTGTGTATCGTCATTGTCACACTTCTGCGTATCGTCATTGTCACACTTCTGCGGATCGTCATTGTCACACTTTTGTGTATCGTCATTGTCACACTTCTGCCTATCGACATTGTCACACTTCTGTGTATCCTCATTGTCACACTCCTGCGTATCGTCATTGTCACACTTCTGCGTATCGTCATTGTCACACTTCTGCGTATCGTCATTGTCACACTTCTGCGTATCGTCATTGTCACACTTCTGCGTATCGTCATTGTCACACTTCTGCGTATCGTCATTGTCACACTTCTGCGTATCGTCATTGTCACACTTCTGCGTATCGTCATTGTCACACTTCTGCGTATCGTCATTGTCACACTTCTGCGGATCGTCATTGTCACACTTTTGTGTATCATCATTGTCACACTTCTGCGTATCGTCATTGTCACACTTCTGCGTATCGTCATTGTCACACTTCTGCGTATCGTCATTGTCACACTTCTGCGTATCGTCATTGTCACACTTCTGCGTATCGTCATTGTCACACTTCTGTGTGTCGCAAGTGTCAAATTTCTGCGTATCGTCATTGTCACACTTCTTCGTATCGTCATTGTCACACTTCTGCGTATCGTCATTGTCACACTTCTGCGGATCGTCATTGTCACACTTTTGTGTATCGTCATTGTCACACTTCTGCCTATCGACATTGTCACACTTCTGTGTATCCTCATTGTCACACTTCTGCGTATCGTCATTGTCACACTTCTTCGTATCGTCATTGTCACACTTCTGCATATCGTCATTGTCACACTTCTGCGTATCGTCATTGTCACACTTCTGCGGATCGTCATTGTCACACTTTTGTGTATCATCATTGTCACACTTCTGCGTATCGTCATTGTCACACTTCTGCGTATCGTCATTGTCACACTTCTGCGTATCGTCATTGTCACACTTCTGCGTATCGTCATTGTCTCACGTCTGCCTATCGACATTGTCACATTTTTGTGTATCGTCATTGTCACACTTCTGCGTATCGTCATTGTCACACTTCTGCGTATCGTCAGTGTCACACTAATGCGTATCGTGATAGTCAGACCTTGGTGTATCACCATTGTCACATTTCTGTGTATCGTCATTGTCACACTTCTGTGTATCGTGATAGTCAGACTTCTGTGTATCGACATTGTCACACTTCTGTGTATCGTCGTTGTCACACTTTTGCGTGCCGTCATTATGCACGACTTCCGTACAGACTTTTATGTTATACGCACAATACGCACGGTTGCTCTGACGCACATGTAACGTTAGTTTATAAATAACAAATTGAGGGCATTAGTTTGGTATGTAGACCGTATGAATTTTGTTTGTAGTGCGTAACGCACTGCTGCCAGTAGTAGCGAGCGCAGTGCGCGTCCCGAGCGTATTCCGAACGCACTCAACTGCCCACCGCTAACTGCCTAAAGCCTCGGTGCTTTTTGTCCCTACGTTTTTTCTGTAAACACAGGGAAGGAGTGGCGTCAACGCACGTCACTCGCACGGTTGCGCAAGGTGCAAGAGTGTCTGGTCGTGAGCGGTTGCGTGCATCGTTCGTTGCGCAAGTGGTAAGTGAGTCGTACGTGCTTACAACGTGCGATCTCTGTGCGATTGCCACTTTACCGTAAGGAGGCCGTACTCACACGTGCTGCTTACGTACTGTGCGTAGTTTTGGGTAAGCTCAAAACTTCGTTGCGTACTGGATCGTGCTGTGCGTGTGCTGTGCGTATGCATATGCTGGCGTACAAAAAAGTACATAAAAACATATGATGATATGAGATGCACATGACGTGCGTATTATGCGTACGACTGCATATGGGAGAATTGCACGTACGTAAATGTGACAGTGCCCTTATGAAAAGTAAAATAGCGTACAGATAACGTACTTGTCGAACATACACACGAGATTAATTTAATGAAATGTGACATTTGGGCGGCCCATGATGACTAGAGCCAGGAGAGGTCAATGTTCTCGCTATGAAATCTGCACCGCGTTTTCATTTAGTCGAAAATATGCTCGTAATAAGAGGCTGACTTTAGACTGCTATGTGTTTTACACGGTAGATAGCTCTTGTGCTCGGGAAAAAGTGAGTGAGCGCCCTCTAGCAGCTTGTTCCGGAACTGCTGGGGGTTTGATAAAATCTTTTAAGGAGGATAACTCAAGAACGTGGACGTATTGTCACGACGTGAAAAATCAGAATCTACCCTTGCATAATTAATGAGAAAATTAATAATACGTCTGCTGCGTTCCATGATAGGGTTATTCAAACTTGTGACATGTAATTAAGAACGATAGGAATATCGGCATAACCAATGAGAAACATTTATAATTCCGCAAAGGTTAACATCATTTGGCGAAGGTATGAGATCGTTTAACTCTATTTTATGTTGTACACAGACCGATATACCCGTCTATTTGGAATAGTTGAGTATGATTTGCCAACGAATGTCTGACAGCTTATTTGCTCTCTTGATACATGGCGTCGCTACTCTGTCGCTCGTGTATTTGCCCGGGTAAACAGAGCAGTGAGATATGGGATCAGAAGGTTAGTCTGACAAACACGGTTCACCGGAGGGCTGGACGTTGGAAGCCTTGGGTGGAACTGTTGTGTATGCGTCTCTCTTTACTTTTACCCTCACGCCATAAAGGTTAATATACTTTTGACCAAAGTAATCCCCAAAATAAGACGCAAATCATCGGTTTTCTTTTTTGGTTGTTGTGCTCATTTTTGGCTATATTTCCTGAAAAGAACGTCATTCGTAGCTTATTTTGGTGCTGTAGCTTTGGTCATCGGAAACACTGGTCATCGAAAGCGCTTACAGCGTCTACATGTGAACGTGGCCTAGGGCAAAAAAACTTTCCTCTCTAGTTATTGTTAGCTAAGCATTATAATCTGCATATTATCAATTATCACGTAAGTTCTACACATAGTAAAGATCACAATAATCCCATACGTTTTAACTTTAAATATGTAACTACCGACACAGATGAACTTTTATAAAAACCCATAATATATTTTCGAGTTCTAAAGTCTCAAACATTAATTAAGTAGTTAATCAATTAATTAATTATGAAACCTGAGCCATCAATTTGGTCATTTGCATTCAATTGTGAAGATCTTTGTCTAATTAACCTACACACACACCAAAGATCACCAATATAAAAAAAACGAGCCACGCTACTTGTAAATTTGTTCCTGACATAAAACCATATCAAATATTTAAAGACGTAAAGTGCTTCTACAGTACCTTAGAAAGCCGGTAGGGAGCTTAACACTCTAACAATTTCTTCGCATTGATGACTACCTAGATATCAATATTATTATCATCATCATGAACTTACGGGATGATATACCCAGGCAGGACAGGACAGGACACATAAATATCCATCAGAACTTCTCGGGGTATGCACGGTTCATAGACACAAATAAACACCTTCTTGACGAAAATATCAAGAAGAAATTGAACTCACGTTTGACCCCACTGGATAGCCAGGTTGTCCTGCATCGTGAGGCTGGGTTGGCTTGGTAGGTGCCGGCCGGTAGGGCTGGACTTCCAGGGGATAGACTTTCCCGAATACGTTGATTTGATGGTAGGGTCTTGACAGGACGTTTGTCGCAGCTGAACAGAAGAAAAAAATGTGTTATAACTTACATATATAATTCACACACACATACACACACACACACACATATGCACGCACGCACGCGCACGCACAAACGCACGCACACACACACAAACACACACATACACACGTACAAAAACACAGTCACACACTAACGTTACATACACACAAACACGCAAACACACACACACACTAACACACGCACACCAATACACACAGGGTCGTGTGGTGTAGCGGCAGAGTGCGCGACTCGGAACCAAGAGGTCCCGGGTTCGAGTCCTGACATGCCACCGATCTTGTGCCCTTGGGAAAGGCACTTTAAACGACTTTCCTCACTTCGCTCAGGTGAAAATGAGTATTGTCCTGTCATGTATCTGTCCTCTGTGTTGGTGGCGGCATTAATATAAGTTGAAAAAACTTGAGTGTGCCGTCACCACGTCTGGTGATTACATGTTGGAACTAGAGTTCCACGATCTCATACCTTCGCCAAATGATGTTAGCTTTTATGATTAAGAAATTATATATTAGTCCCCCTAATTATGCAAATAGGATCCTCAATTGCATGAATTATATCTGTTGATCATATTCTCCACCAAAAGACAGTCTTATCTTAACAAAGAATGCCATGATGACATTTTCTCATAAATTGTTTAATTATGTTCACCTTAACGTAACTTTAAAACACCCCAAGTATAAAATTCCAGGCAGTTACCACTATGCAATTATAATATTTTCTCATTAATTATGCAAATTAAGTCTTCATTTGCATAATCGATATCTGCCTGTGTTTCTCTCATTCTTAATAACATATGTCACAAGCTTGAACTTCCTATTATGGAATACAGCTGATATATAGAATTTCCTCATTGATTATGCAAATTACATCCATATTTGCATGATTGTAATATCATTATGTCAAGCATCACTCAAGCTACCTACATACCAAAAATCACGATGATCCATCAGTCGGTTCTTGAGGTATCCCCCTTTAAACATTTGTCCATTAACCCCCCCCCCCTGCAGTTCTAGAGCAAGCAACTAGGGGGCTCAAACTCATGTCACTTTATCCCCAGCACAAGAGCTATCTACCATCTAAATTTCGTCACCCTAGCATGTCTGGATCATGAGATATCAAAACCGGAAGTTCTGCTGCAGTACCATGACAAGCCGCCAGGTGGCCCAAAATCTAATCATTTTGAGGTCTCATCAAGACCTACCCACCTACCAAGTATCAAGACAATCCATCAAGACCTTCTCAAGTTATCGTGTTGACAGACACACACACACACACACACTCACATACACGAACGCCCCTGAAAACATAACCTTCTTGGCGAAGGTAATTTAAAAAAATACACACAGGGATCTCATCTAGAGAACATTCAATGAGTGCATATTTTTGCTACAGGAAAATGCACTTTTGCAACCTGTTATTGTTGACGGACGTAGTAAAATCAATATATATCAGGCTAGTTTGTGGAGTGAGTGATACAGTGCATGTTGAGTCCAAAGAGCAGTCGCCATAACTCGTAGCTGAAGTGTAAAACAAATATCACCTGCCGAATGGAGTTGTTTATAGTTTCGCTGCCAATACCCGCCCACTTCCGTCATGTTTCGGTGGGTGTGTATTCAGAACTGTTTAACAGTTCTTTCCCAGAAGGGCTCGAAATTCAGTTTTGAGAATAGGTGTACTGGTGCACCATATAAAATAAAATACGAATTTCAGCAAAAACTAATTATGTTTTATAAGTGTTATAACGATGATTTCATTATTTTTCCAACACTAAGATGTTAAGAATATGCTGTATACTACAAGACATTTAACATCATACGTAAACCTACGAAAATATTCGGGTGCACTGGTGCACCCACATAAAATAATTGGGTTCACAGCTCAAAATTTGGGTGCACTAAGCTGCATATGCACCCAGTATTTTAAGCCCTGCGAACAGGTGTGTGCACGACACAGCGATATTCTTCCGCGACGTTACAGTGCTCTCTAAAAACCGCGATTAAAGAGTTTCAGGAGTCCTGATTTTAGCTGTCACGTCTTCGAAATTACATTATATACTAGCATAGCCGAAAAGAGTAAAGAAGTGATGTGGCAAATAGTAATTTTGCGCTAAAGCCTAATTAACTTCCTGGTATCCTTCCGCCTGGAATGTGATCCGCCTCTTTGCCCCAGGTTGAACTTCCGTTCTTTGGGTTTGGCTGTAAATCACGCAACGTGTTATTGTGAAAATTGTAGTGTTACGATTTTCTTTGTAAATAGCGTGATTTCGTCTAACAGTTTGCTCTTTCCGACAACATGAGTCGTTTAAACTGTAGTCGATGGGGTTAATCAGCCACTTGAAAATTTATATTCTTTAAATCATTTTTGACGGTGAAATGCTTTACGTCCTAACATCTACAAAGATTTTGGAGGTTTAAGAAAAAAGTGAGACCCAAGTTGAGTTGCTCTTATGATGAAGAGGGTATGAGGGATATGCTTAATGCCACAGACAATGTCAGTCAAGTTATTTGTTTCAGAGTTACTTCGTAGACTTGACTGGATGTGCGGAAAGTTGACTAGACACCCCCCCCCCCAAAAAAAACAACAAACAAACAAACAAACAAAACTATGGTCTCCACCAGTCTGCTCCTCGGAGTTGGCTGCAGAAACTAGCAGTTTACGGATAGACTGGGCACACGCTAGCTAGCAAGCGTCAGTTAACATTCTGACCCCACTACTGTTTGTCGACCACTGAGACTGCAATCATACAACGTCAACTAGCGTTCATGCATACCACGTCAACCAAACAGTGAACAACCGTATCGGGTTCCCCTATCATGTTCTACAGTAGTCTCCACCAGACTCCTTTGCAGGCTGAATGAATACTAGTAGTAGAAATTGGCCTAAAAAGAATGTAGCTCAGCTGGCCAGGGGAGTTGGCCGGCCATATAGGGTCCAGTTTACCTGCACCGGGACTAGTTCTACATGGGTGGTTTTGAGGCGTATTAGAGCATACGTTGCACCTATTATTATAATTTGAAAGTTTATTGCAAATACATGCCCGGGGGCAAATTGCAACGTGTATGACGAAAGAAAATACAATGATATGTGAGACTACATGTACGTCAAGCATTATACTACATTCTACAATATACATGGTTCTAGTTTTCCCGGGTTTGACTTCTTCTTTTGAGGCACTGGAAGACGAAATTGCCCACTTCTTCCTCTGTGGGTTCCTATTCTTATATACATTTATTCACAAAAAATTCACAACCCACATGTGTAAAATAAGCAATTAAATGGCCGATACCAATCCCGGTGAAGAGCACACAACTCTTATAAGACATGAAGAGAATAAAACCAAGCATGAACCGTGAACTGTGAATGTGACTACAATGTATATTGTATAAGGAAGTGTCCGACCTCTTATGCCAACCAAAGTGTTATACAAATAAATTTGTAGTACTTCCGGATTCCCTTATTGTATAAGCCACAATAAACGTTTCCAAAACGGCTAAAGAAAATAAACACGTACCTTCTCCTTCCACAAACTGAATTTTCATCCGTCCAGGTTCTACCAACTCCAAGTGGTCCACGTCCCCACCCCGTGACTCCTTGGCGCTCTGAAAGTAGATTTGTAGCTTGTCTTTGAGGTTTTCCAACTCTTCTCCTTCAACATTAGGAAACCCACGGACAGAGACACTCTTACTGATGTCTTCTTCCATGTTTGTAGCCGAAGTTTCGCGACAGGTGTTGCTACCGGTCTTGCATATGTTCGGAAAGGCAGGCCCAGGTAAGAACTTTGCTTTTACCTGTATGTATAGTCAATAGAAAGTGGGCATGATGTCACCCTGGTTCCTATTGGTTGAACCTATGACCCACAGAAGGTCTTAGCCAATGGTAGCAGGTCGGGTCATTCCTGACCAATGATGTGCGCTTTGACTCTTTGAACCTTTAGTTTCGATCAGGTGACTTCACCTGAGTAAACTTGTGACGCAGCGGAAAGTCCCGGGTAGAAAAACAACAGGTGTTTTACAAATATAACTGTTTGTCGAGCAGAGCATATAGTTATATACGAGCGAGTGTTGCTATGTAGCATTTATGTAGCTTTAACGTCTACCATTTTACTTGTAAATTACACCTTTCTTTGCCCGACTGTCTGTCCATTTTCACGACACTATAATGTACGCAACAACACCTAACCACAGCAAATGGACCATTCCATTAAAAAACAAAAAAGAACACAAGAGTTACAGTGATTTGGTGCTACAGTTACTTGGAGCTTTTAAATTTCGTGGTCACAGTTATTCTTCAAATATACATGTACATGTACAGTAGCATATGGTCCAAACATACATTGTATAATGGGATGCACTCATTTCGTGGACTTTTAAATGCGCTTTGCCTAAGAATTTAACATCAATGGAAGTCTCATTATCATTTTTCAGACAGATCGTAGGCGGAGAAGAAAATGAATATATCTACTATGCCCCATTTGACAATTTTCTACCACAATACAGGTAAGTATTTCTTTAACGATTATATAGCGGAATCTGGAGTCTTGGATTGTGGAGCTACCCTCCCCTGGACGAAAATGAACGCTTCCATATTACCCACCATTCTTTGCTGACACCCCTGTACAAGATGGCCGTCGTCGAAGGAAAAAGTCTGTCCGAGTTTGACGAAATTGTCAAAAATGCCGGCAGGTGAGTAGATAGTTACCAGTGCACATATTAACTAAGTAAAGACACAAGTATTCTGTGAGAAAATTGACCCTGTGTTGCGCTTAATGTTCCCATTCAACGCGAAATGACTAAGTTAGGCTACCTAGACAGGCCTTTTCTTTTGACCATATGCTCTAATTATTCTACTTTCTAAATTTATGCGCACAGTTCTACGGGCACTCAAGATATGACATTTGGGTGTTTAAACGTATTTTTAGTCATTCAATAAAATTTGATGTGACACTTTGTTTCTATCATTAACGCACTAGTCTTTTACTCATAAAAATGTATAATAAACGCCACAATAAGGCCACAGCAAGTAAAATTATGGATGACATGCAACTGCAAGCCATACTCCAGTTTAAAAAACACACCTTGTATGATGGTAGTGGTATGCCTCACCAGTGGGTTCGTCAGTTAATGCGAGCGGGCAAAAAAATCCTACATTTTCACATTTTGAAATCATGTTATTGAATTGGCAACAAAACATTATATCACCATCTTTTCCTGTATTCTTTGAAACAGTATTACCTACATCCTTGTAAATTGTAGATAGAGATACATTTTTACAGACTAATACTTCTAAGACAAAGTTCACCCTATCTGGTACACAGTACGATACATCCCATGAATTATTATCATGTCCAACTACCATATCTGTTTACCTAGGCCAATTTCTGTACACTTTATTCCATAAGCGAGAACATATCATCAATATATGATCAAGTAGTAACTCAAATACTGTTTAGATAGTACATGTAGTTTGTAGTAAGTAAAGTTCTGTAGTTGTATTACTGCCATACATTGTACCTTGTACGATTGTTGAGCAATAAAGTTCATTCATATGTAGAACAATTGTAATAAAGAGCTTGCTGTACCATCATACATAGGCAGCTATTAATTATATTGGGTATTTGTATAATGGGACACCTTAAGCTTAGACTGTTAGCATTTGCCCTCTCTAGATTTTTCTCAGCTTGTTGACCACCATCGAAGGGAAAGAAAATTCCTTTTTTTCAATCAGGCAAAAATTAATATATGTACTAGTACTGATGTCATTCATAAAAAATAGTTACTGTTGCCTTAGTTGTTCTTTGATGCTATATGTTATGATGCTAGTACTAGTAAAATGCTATGTAGTAGTTGTGGATTACTAGCACATATAGTATGTTTACCACTACAACTTGGTGAACCATAAGAATGTTAGGTAGATTAATTCATTGCAAGCCTAACTGATAAAATTTGTTCTGCCCAGTTCCCTGGTGGTTGTACACTTCTGGGCTGACTGGGCCCAGCAGTGTGCTCAGATGAACGACGTCATGGCAGAACTGGCCAAGGAACATCTACAAGTCAAGTTTGTCAAGGTCAGTCTAGTTCATCTGGCTTTCTAGATCTGTTACTCCTTCATTTATTTACATAGACTTCCACCCTGTGTCAACTTCTATGCAAATTATAAAGGTTTATTCCTCCATCTCTCTCAGTCCCTCTCTGTCTCTCTCTTTGTATGTACACTGTGTTTAATTTGTATGTGAATTATAATCATGTGTTTGCCATGTGGTTGGTATTGTCACATCCAGTATGATTTGACATTAATTGTAAAATTAGACTGTAAATTGTAATAATCACTTATGGAAGAAGTACTTACATGTACACTGGTGCATTGTCTGGCCAGAGAAATACACTGAACTTAGCATTTTGTTGAAATGTATGGGGACTGTTTCTTCCGTCATCTGCACATGTAGCTGCTAGGACATTAAATGATAACTGGATTGCACAACCTTGTTTCCTAATTAGTAGCTAGATTATGAAAGAATTTGAAAAGTTTTTGTATGTCTCCAGGTTGAAGCAGAGGCAGTTCCTGAGATATCGGAGCGTTATGAAGTGGTCGCTGTGCCGACATTCATTTTCATCAAGGTAAGGATCAGATTCTATTATATTGCAGTTATATCACTAACAGTAATAGCAGACAGTTTCATTGTAATCATTTTCTATACTCTCATCTGCCGAACAAACATACCCCCCGGAATAAACGTACCCCCCGGACAAATCTTCAAAATCAAATAAACATACCCCCGGAATAAACGTACCCCCCGGAAAATTACCAAAATTGACGGGTAACCTGTGTCTCTTGTACTAAAATGCACCCTTACTGATATATGCACAAATATTTAACTGTTATTTGCAATTAGGAATTTAAATAGACAAAAAAAAAGAGCATTTAATATTTTGTATTTTGATAAGCACCACCCATGACAATAGAACATTCAGACGAATTTATGCACGCGGTGATTGCAAAAACTGGCCCGAAAATGACAAGTTTCTCGCTACAATATGCGTTTATAAACGTCTTCACGTCGATGATTTGTCAATTTTTTTCACACGAAGTTGAAAAAAATTACTGGTTTTCAAAAAATTAATAAACGTACTGTGCAAAATAAGAACGTACTGGGTGGATGTTTGGGCCCCAAAAAATAAACGTACCCGTATGTTTATTTGGCAGATGAGAGTATATATCTGGGCTGTGATAACGCTCGATAAGGGCAATTTTTATATTGTGATAACTAGCCGTCACACTGTGTTTTCAAACAGTTATCATATACTGGCTTCTAAAAGTTACACTTCTTTGTTTAGATCAAGGACCAAATTTTCCCAATATTTGGGACATTTTGCATTGAAATGTGTCATTTCTCGGGTAGCTAGGTACATTGTATAACAAAAAGAATAGTACAGTATACAACATGTATTCTGAATCACACTTATTCTCAGTCCTCCTGGCCACAGTCAGGCTGGGACCTTTGGTGATATGGAATAATATACACCATGTAGTATTCTTTATTAACAAAAACAGCTTATGATTTGCTAATCTTTATGAACTTGTGATGACCATGGCTGATGTCCACATTTCAGAACCAACAGAAGATAGACAGGTTGGACGGTGCCCACGCTCCAGAACTGACTAAGAAGGTCCAGACTCTGGCCTCAGCAGCTGTCTTTCCATCAACTACAGCAGCTGCAGCTCCTAAAGAGGTCAGTATAAATTTCCATTGTTTTCTTCTCTTATAACTTACTTAGGCCACACCAATTTAATTTGTTGCTTCTCGGATCGCCCTGTCCATTTTTTTTTATTTGCCAAAAAAAAAAGTGTTCCAAATTAACTCCAAAATGCTCAATGAAAGACATATTTTGGCCCCAACTGTTGAAAAAAAGTCCTTTTCTTCCTAGTTCTTAGTTTTCCAATGTAACAATTCAATTTTGATTCATTAAAAGTTCAAAATCTATTGTTTTATTTATAAACCAGGCTGGTATGTTCACTTCATGGATCATATTGAACATTTCTGGCTATCATGGGGTGCCTGTTTTTTAAATTTTTTTTCCCCCTGTCGCTCCTGATTTTTTCTGAAAAAATCTGAGAAACAACAAATTAAATTGGTGTGGCCTTTGCATACACCATAAGTTCAGGCTTGATTCTACAATATCTTGCATCTGTGAACAATTTTATCAGGTTTGTGAACGATTCAAAAGCAAAGTTCTTTATTCACTGTACCACTGACACTTTGATGACTGTCTAACTAACTTGTGTTAAATTTTTTATCAGGGCAATGGTGACTGATTCACTATGCACTGTCAGTCCCTACCCTAATGTGAAGGATAGTACATGTACATGTACATTATACTAATGCATACGGAGCAAAGAGTTCCATCTGTTATATTTGTTTTCCAGGACCTGAACACCAGGTTGAAGAAGCTGGTGAACTCAGCTCCTGTCATGCTGTTTATGAAAGGAACACCTGAAGCTCCCCGCTGTGGTGAGTCCCTGTCTACATCTATACTTTTACTTAGTCTAGTAACTAACTACATTTTTTGTACATGTCAGTAGATTTCATAGCAAATTTTAGCACTTATATTTAGAACAATAATTTTTCTTTTCATAACTTCTAGTGCATATTTGTTCCCAACATAATCTTGACATCTATAATGGAAGATTGCATGGAAACTATCAGCTATAATATAAAATTATTAGAAGAAAACATTAACAGATAGAATCACATTACTATAGTACAGAGTAGAAAGCTTGTCCATGGTACTGAAAAGTCAATTCCAGTTATTGGGAAAATCACGAATCTTCTGCCAATGTTTAAATGTCTTTTGTATTTATCTAAGTAACTTAAAAGTCTGATTGACTTTTAGGTTTATGTCTACATAGCCTGACTCTAGATACAAAAGACCTGCCCTAATTTTATTATTTTACAGTCCTTTGCACATACCCTTTGACAAATGCTAGAAGAATCAAGTCAATAGACATTCGATTCAGTTACTTGTAAAACACAAAAGCAATTAGAAGAATTAATTACAGAACATATGTCAAACCTGGACATGACATATCCACTATTGCATCTCTCTAATGTCTGGATATACATGTGGATTGCCTGATGAAGAAAAGGTTGTTTTGTTCTGTCTGTTGGCATGGATATGGCATGTTTGTTTGTTTGCTTGTTTGTTTAAATGTGTCATTGTTTGTTACAGGTTTCAGCCGTAAGATGATTGACCTTCTGAGTGGACAGAAAGTCAGGTTTAGTTACTTCAACATACTGGCTGACGAGGAAGTCAGGCAAGGTATGGGACATCATCTGTAACTACATTTAGTAATTCAGCCCCTGAAATACTCCGTGCGCACATATTGTACATGTATACACACTTTAGTGTGCACAGGTAAAATTGGAGCTGTGCAGGTATTTCTGATGTCTACCTGCACCTAACCTGCACTGGTCCATGTACTGGGTATATGCAGGTTAGTGCAGGTAAAATTGGAGCTGTGCAGGTATTTCTGGTGTCTACCTGTACCTAACCTGCACTGGTCCATGTACTGGGTATATGCAGGTTAGTGCAGGTAAAATTGGAGCTGTGCAGGTATTTCTGGTGTCTACCTGTACCTAACCTGTACTGGTCCATGTACTGGGTATATGCAGGTAAGCTCAGGTGAAATTGCAGGTAAATGGTCGAAGTTAAAGCTGTATCATTTCAGAGCAATACTACATGTTTGTGCATATGTTTTTGTTATAGGACTGAAAACCTTCTCCAATTGGCCCACTTACCCTCAGCTGTATGCGAACGGAGAACTTCTTGGTGGTCTAGACATTATAAAGGTATTGTCATCAAAGCATGCTTTACTGTTTGTGCCTGTATGTGATGTTGATTTTCATTTTTAATCAACCACATAAGATAAACCAACCCTATTCAGGTGCATAAGTTCCATTCAGGAAGTAAAGTTAGAAAATAGGATGTGTTAGGTTTGTGTTAAAAGTTGGAAACGCAGTTGCAGGGCTTGAAATACTGGCTGCATGTGCACCTTATTAGACTAAGTTTACATTGTAATTTTATTTCATCCATAGGAAATGGCTGAGAGTGGAGACCTAGCTTCAGCCTTACCTCAAACAGAGACACTGGAGGACAGGTACTAGGTTTTTTAACCCTTGTTCTGCTGGCACTTTTTACACAATATTTTCAAATAATTTGGTATCTTAATCAGGTCATAGACCCTTGACTTTTTTTGCCCTGCGGTGGAGTAGTTATTTCCGGATTCGTTGCATTTAGCTGTCTTGTAATGCGTTGCACAAGAAATACCTCCAATTTGTACATAACCTGGGTGCTATATTGATAGTACTGTCTGTGCAACCCATATGTACATCATGGACTCTGCAGGACAAGACTTTTAATATTTGCTTACCATTATTATGATTTTCTTTAATTATTAAAGCTTCTTCTTTTTTATCGACAGGCTGAAGTCCCTAATCAACAAAGGACAGGTCACTCTTTTTATGAAGGGAAATCGGCAGGTAAGACACTGATAGTTGTACAATGTAGATACTGACATGTTACAATCAACATAGAATCACGACGTGTTATAATTGACTTACTTACTTTATAATTATGTGTTGTAATTGAGTGGCAGAATATTCACCTTTTTCACCAGATTCTAAGAATTTCAACGTGCAAAATACCTGGTTGACCAGTTGCCCTGGGCAACCAAATTTTACTTGGGGCATCCTATTTTTGAACCTAGGTAGCCCAATGTGCTACCTGGATTTTAAGAATGCCCCTGTTATAAATATTGTCAAAGGCTTATGTAATATATGTAACATTACTTAATTTGAGGAAAGTAGTATCTTATAGGTGTGGCAACCTAAAATTCTGATGGGCAACCTAATTTTTGCTGTAGGTTGCTCTCTGGGCAACCTGGTTCAAAAAAGTGTTTGTACACTGGAGATTCTTCCTGTGTAAGGGCCTTCAGAGCTATCTAGGTCTCCTAAGGCTTGGAAAAAAATGTTGTGTTTTCCTGACCGACCCTAGAAAAATCTGCTGACAGACCCTAGCCTTTTTTTGTCTGTGGACCCCTGCAAGGGACACAAATTTTTCGAGCTGATCGACCTTTTCCAGCTCCATGATCTAATACCTGAGTGGTGAAATGTTGTACAATAAGTTATCGAAGAATGACATTGAAAATTTTAATATAAGTGTTGTCATGAAAGTTGTACAAGTTGGATCACTAGAGATTGCTAAAGTCTATAAAGAAAAAAAAAGAGAATCCCTACCTACTGACCCTAATTTTTTTTCAGGACTGAAACAGGATACATATTTTTTTTGCTAGGCCTTATCTGCCTTTGATTGTTTTTTGGTTGAAGCCAGAAGACATAAATGACAGTAAAAATCCTGAGTTTGAAAGATTTTTTTATAATAGTGATTATGTGATTGCTTATATATAGGAACCAAGATGTGGCTTCAGCAAACAGATCATAGGTATTCTCAATGACACTAGGTAAGTATTGTTGTCATTGCAGTGATGTGAAATTGAAATAAGTCTCTACACTGTAGATTGACAATAGATTTAGACATATAGATATTATGTATGGTACAAACTTGCCAGTAGAAGACTACAGTTAAAAATTACAGTTGAAGTATTTAATCATTTGAATTTGAAACAACTACAAGCATCTCAAAATAGTTTTATGATCTTCCTTTACCAATGTATTCTGTTGTGGTTGAATATTTCAAGAGACATTTTAGAACATCAAGATAATGTATAATGTCATGTATACTTGATAGACTTTAGATACTTGATTTACATTTGACCATGTATTGTTTTCAGTGTGCAGTATGAGACTTTTGACATCTTGCAAGATGAAGAGGCAAGTACTTAGTATTCTAATAAACAGAAGCTTTTCTGAAAAGAAATTTCAGGCTACATGTGTAAACATTGGCCAGTTTCTGTGTTGCATACTTAAGTACAATACATCTATCATTGCTGAGTGGACCATAAGTGACAATTTTACTCTACATATCATACCTGGGTGGCGATTTTGTTCAACGAGTGTTCGGCCTGTGTTACTACTAACTGTATAACAATAAGTTGTTTTTTTTAAATCTAACATGTTGTCACAAGACGTGGTGATGGCACACTCAAGTTTTTTCAACTGACATTAATGCCGCCACCAACACAGGGGACAATACAATACTCATTTTTTTGCAGTTACCTGATCTAAGTGAGGAAAGTCGTGTAAAGTGCCTTTCCCATAAGGGCACATGATTGTCAGGACTCGAACCCAGAACCTCTTGGTTCCGAGTCGAGCACTCTGCTGCTACGACACACGATCCCACAATGATGTTCTTAGTAAACAGTTATCGCGTACACAGGTTTCCAAATTTTCCATAATTCAAACGTGTTTTGTGTGCACTGCCTATGAATACACAGAGTTACATGTACATTTAACATTGTCAAAAATTTGAAGATAACCAAAAAAATATTCCACATTTCTAGGTTCGCCAGGGATTGAAGAAGTTCTCCAACTGGCCAACCTACCCACAGCTGTATGTAAAAGGAGAGCTGATTGGTGGACTGGATATTGTGAAGGTGAGGTTCTGCAAAGTGTACCAATGACATGTCGCATGACAAAATGTTTGCTCTCAACTTTATATTGTCAATGATACATTCAATGTTTTACATTAAAAAATGTGCCTATTTAATAAAGCCTTTAATGCCTGTGCTGAGGTCTAGTTTCTGTACTTTGATATATGTGATGTATACATACAAATGTATAATCTTATACCTATAAGGATCAATTCTTTAAGGCATCCACCAAAAAAAAAAATAAATTCCTAAATGAGGAAATCTTTCTGATATACATGTACACATTTATAGCCATTTCTAAGCACATTTTTGTCATTTTTTACTTACGTTTTGTACTAGAACTTGAAATAACCCCAAAACAAGCTATGTGAGGCATCTCATTTATTTTTTTGAGTACCACCCATAAATAGCTAGAACCAGCCTATAATATAAAACAAGCGACAGTTTTCCATCAGCAACATTGCATTTTTTTTATCTCACATATATCAATTATGTTTTAGGATAGGAATTATTCAACTTACTATCTTAAAACATTGACCCCCAAAATTTGACTTTAAAAATCCTGTTTTGCCACCCAGAAATTGCAGTGGATGTCTTTAAAAAGAAATGGTACAATTTGCTTTTTAATTTTTATTTCAGGAACTGAAGGAGTCAGGTGAACTGGAGTCCATACTGCAGAATGGACAATGACATCCCGGCAACATGTAGTAGGAAGTAAAAGTACAGAAGACACACGGACATGACAACTATGTAGTTTAGAGTTAAAACTTTAGGCCACGCCAAGTAAATTTTATGGATGACGTCCTTTGGAGACCCTAAATCTAATGCAAGAGGGCGAAAAAAAAAACAAGAAGGGCCCTAAAAGCAAGATGCCTAGATTAGAAATATACTAAGAGACAACAAATGTTAGGACACAAATTGAATGAAGTGACACAGTGTAACAAGCAAGAAGTCTTTTATTCATCATCAAAACAGCAATAAATCAGGTGGAACAGTGGACAGTGAAAAATTTTCTGTTATTGACAGGATGGTCCTGTCAATAGTGCAAATTTTCTGTTATTAATAGTGCAAATTTTCTGTTATTGACAGGATGGTCCTGTTATAGACACTTTCTTCACGTTACGGGTTTCACGTCAATCTGACGATTTGCGGCACTGTCGTGACTATTTGGTCATATTTACAGGAAGCGAAATTTCTTGTTTTTTTTTGTAGGAAGAGGCCAAAATCAATGCGCGCGCGGACGTCATCCATTAAATTTACTTGGTGTGGCCTTGGTTGGTGTGATCCAACACAAAAAATTCTCTCACCTACATGTAGAGCTTTCGACCAGCCACTCTGGTCTTCCTCAGTAGACTGACCCAGTGAGGCTTGTCACATGGCTTCTTTGAAGTGTGATGTCAACACTGGGTCAACGGTATCTGGTAGACGATGTCGGCCCCCATGTGTTGACATCACACTTCAAAGAAGCCACGTGACAAGCCTCACTGGGTCATTCTACCGAGGAAGACCATAGTGACTGGTCGAAAGCTCTAGGCGAGAGAACATTTTGTGTTGGATCTAAAGTTTTAATTCTAAACATGTATCTACCAACACAGATGAACTTTCATGCTGACATGACGACTACAGTGTAGAAGTAGAGATGTACATATTAGTGCATAATGCTCCATTTTCAGCACAGCTTGTCTGCTACATTGTGTATACCAATTTGATTTGTTGGATGTCAGATTTTTGTAGGAAATGAATGAAGTGGGCATGCTAAAACAAGATAGGCCAAAGCATAATGTGATAGCCTTAAATTCTACCACATGAGCCACACAGTTAACATTGTACTATAGTTATCAGTGAATTTTGAACTGTATTTAATGAATGGAAAAACCTTAACAACTAGGAAGACAAAAACTTTGAAGATCTTTAATTGGTTATTGCTAAAATAAGAAAACCTGAATTGTACATGCCATCTATATGTTTGTTATAATTGCATATCAAAAAAAAAAATTGGCAAATCTGAGAACCAAGAAATTGAATTGGTATGGCCTTAGCTTGCATGTATTGTTGTAATTCCCCCAAATTGCACTAGTCTTGTTCCTAATTGATATTTCTGTAGAGCTTTAAAAGTACACATACTTGCTTGTCAATATGTACAACATAACATCTAAGTTAAGGGCTTGAAAGTGTATTTGACTGTTCTTGCGGCAAATGCATAAAGGGCTACTTTAAATTTGTAGAAGATCTCTTGTAAGCAGAAAGTTTACATTTAAGACTACTAGTATTATGTTGTCAACGTGCACAGGAGGCCTAAAGAGAATTTAGACTCTTTTTGTATCTTTTGTTGAAAATTTCAGGACACAGTGTTAATACTATAGTACTTAGGCCACAGCAATTTTTATTTGTTGGTTCTCGGATTCGCCTCTTTATTTTTTTCTGATTTACAAAAAAAAAAAGATTTTGGTTCTGGATCAACTAAAAATGGACATATTTTACCCTCAACAGTCAAGGAAAGGCCTTTTCTTCCTTAGTTTTTACAGTTTTTCCATCTAACAATGCAATGGTTTGATTAAAAGTTCAAACTTCATTGTTTAAATTTTGTGTTGACTTCATGGCTCCCATCGTGGCATTTGCGGCTATAATGGGATGCCTAGGCCTGTTTTTATTTTTTTCGCCCTGTCGCTTCATATTTTTTCTGAAAAAATCCGAGAACCAACAAATTAAATTGGTGTGGCCTTAGGTTGGCATGTAAAGAGGATATATCAGATTCTTTAAGAATGCTATAAATGGTTTGTTTGCAACAGTTAAACTGTGCATGAGCATGTTCGGCTCAAGATCTGTGTATGGGAATAAAGGTACTTGTGTTTAATCCTGCTCATACATGTATTTAAACCAGTTTGAAACTACAGTGAGTGCTCCTGACCATACATTATAATGGTATTCATAACCTTATTCCTACATGTTGTATGTACTATGAAATAATGACATACAGAACTGATGATTCAATGGAGAATACGACGCTTTTGACATGTTCAATCAACTTCAGACTGAGTAGACTTTTGGCTTCTTAGTGTTGCTTCCATGCAGTAGTCCTATTTGTTAAAATATATAGCTTTTATAAAGCAGTGCTGTACGGTTTGCACAATAATGCCTATTTTGACCCTGACATATACATGTACTAGGGAAAACAGACATGATTAAAAACAGACATGTTCAAAGATGTGGTTTCTCTTTTATTTCCACTAGTGTGTCTGATGCAAAATGTGCCTGATTTAACTTAGCTACAGTAACTGTACTCCCAAATTATTTGTAGCCTTATACTTTCAAGTCTTGTGGCTCCTGTTTTGATTTCTTTTTCTTTATCTGCTCATGTCTTTATCTTCTGATTATGATTTAGGAGAATTATTAACATCACTGCAATTACAAAGATACTGCACACTTCATTTCAAAACCAGATGCTAGAATGGCTCTTTTGCCTACTATTATAATAGTACATGTACCTTACAGTGAATTTTTCATGAAGAAAAAACAAGAAACTGGAGATTTCAGGAAGTATTTTTGGTTTTCATGACTTAAAGTGTACAGACCTTTGACAGAACTGTTTTGTGGATGTACGATGTAATCGAACTGTGTATGCTGTTCGTAATACTAATTTGGTTGGACAGTTAGTAGAAAATTCTTCAATCAGTGACTGTTTTGTAAGGTAATCATGTACATGTACCTCCAAATTTTTGGTGTCAACTGTACACCTTGATCACGAAGGTACGTGATTTACCTTACAAAAATACAGTCACTAATTGAAGAATTTTTTATGTGACTGATGAACCTCTTAAACTATTATGGTTGGGTTTTGAAACACTTCTTGAATTCCTCCATATACATGTACTGCTCAATTACTGCCACTACTGGGTCCCCCACATCAGGTGTTTCACATCCCTATAAATAAACTATCAAAATCACTTCCCATGCAACTGAAGATATGAGAAAGGAATAGACACAAACCAACGACTCAGCCACCCAAAATAATATTTCTGTAACCACAAACTAGTTAATAGAGTGTACATCGTTATTCTTTTATGTTTACTGCCCATAAAGGGTGCCGAATATTTATAGTATCCAGATACAACAAAATTCCAAACACTTCTTAGGGCACACCAATTTAATTTCTTGGTTAACGGATTCTTTCACTTCATTTTTTTTTTTTGCAAAAAAAAAAAATCAGAATCAACTGCAAAATGCTCATATCTTGCTCTGAACAGTTGAAAACAGTCTTATTCTTCCTAGTTGTTACAGTTATTACATCTTTCAATGCAGTGGTATCATTAAAAGTTCAAAATTCATTGTTTAAATTTTGAACCTGCCTAGTGTGTTGACTTCATGGCTCCTATCGTACCATTTTGGGCCATAATAGCATGCCTTGGCCTGTTTTATTTTATTTTTTTTCACCCGCCCACTTCATTATTTTTCTAAAAAATCTGTTAAGGCCACACCAATTTAATTTGTTGGTTCTCGGATTTTTTCAGAAAAAATATGAAGCGACAGGGCGAAAAAAATAAAAATAAAAACAGGTCTAGGCATCCTATTATAGGCTTAAATGCTACGGAATGAGCCATGAAGTCAACACAAAAGGCTGGGTTAAAATTTAAACATTGAATTTTGAACTTTTAATCAAACCACTGCATTGATAGATGGGAAAACTGTAACAACTAGGAAGAAAAGGACTTTCCTCAACTGATGGGGGCAAAATATGAGCATTTTTCAGTTGATTCAGGACCAGAATCAATTTTTTTTTTTTTTGCAAATCAGAAAAAAACGAAGAGGTGAATCCGAGAACCAACAAATTAAATTGGTGTGGCCTAACCAAGAAATTAAATTGGTGAGGCCCCAGGACCATAATTATGTCTGACAAAGTTGCAGGCTACTATTAGTTTGAAGAACATGACAATGTCACAGAACAACCTCAAAACAACAATTTTCCCCCATAAAACTGTTTTTACATGACAAAATCTACATTCGTGCATGTTCTTAATCTGAACAAACTAAACTGTACACATCTGTACATAGCAGACATTGTATTGCTGCCAAATATTCAAACTACATATAACAAGAACATGATCACACTGTGATGTACTATTATCATGATAAAGTGGGATTGCTATCTATGAAGAACATGTATAAGGCCACACCAAAATTTTATTTGTTGGCTTTCAGATTTTTTTCAGAAAAAATATGAAGCGACAGGCCGAAAAAAAATGAAAACAGGCCTAGGCATCCTATTGTAGCTCCAAATGCTACAATTGGAGCCCTGAAGTCAACACAAAAATTTGGGTCAATATTTGAACAATGAATTTTGAACTTTTGATCAAACCAATGCATTGATAGATGGAAAAACTGTTACAACTAGGAAGAAAGGGACTTTTCTCAACTGTTGGGGGCAAATATGAGACTTGATTCAGAACCAAATCTTCTTTTTTTTTTTGCAAACCAGAAAAAACGAAGATCTAGGCGAATCCAAGAACCAACAAATCAAATTGGTGTGGCCTAATGTAAATTGCTAGCCTGGTTACCAAACCTATTATACATGTAGCTCCCGAGTCCTACATCCTCTACGCAAATAGGGCTTGTAGGACTCAGGAGCTATACTAGGTTTGGTAACCAGGCTAGCAAATTGCATTTGGTTCTTTGTTGCAAATTATCTACCATACCTATATAGAAGCAAATTAACTTCTACCATACCATAGAAACAAAAGAAGGCCTTACAATATCTGAACTGTGTGTACAAATGAACATTCATTGACAAGCAAAATATCCTATCCTTTGTCATAATTACAAAAACGTTCATGTATCTTATTTATCTTCATGTTGTACATCATTTCTAGGTTCTGTGTCACCATCCTGTGTTTCTGATCTATCTACATTTCCTACATTCACAAATTCCCAGTCTTGTGGTTGTTCCTCAGGATTGTCATTACTTGTACTGTGACTTGACGCATGTAACCCACCTCTCTCCTGTGATTCTGTCTCCTGAGGTTTCTTGGCAACATCTTGCCTTATCCTAACATTTTCCTTTTCTTCTTTATCATCTACATGTACCTCAGCTTGTACTTTTGGAAGCTCTAAAACATGTTGTCTTTCAGTGGAGGTCTTTCTGTCCATTTCTTCTAAATCAGCCTGTACGGCATTTGGGCCTGCCACATTTTCAGAGTTTTGGTCTTGTTCGAGCAATGGTTTGCTTTCGTTTGCATTATTGTTTGGCCTAGCAGCTTCTGGTTCGTTATCATCTGCATTATTGGTTTCACCCTGTCCTTCAGCTTCAAGTGTGGGATCGTCCCTTTCATTGTTTCTAAGTCCTTCTGCGTCTGCCTCATTTCCAGCATGATGTTGTCTCTCGTTGTCTTGATTTTCTTGGGGCGGGTCTTGCTGGGTGTCAGCCTCGAATTTGATTTCGGTGTGGCACATGGGGCACTTCTCCTGTACGTAGAGCCACTTGCGGAGGCACGCACCGTGGAAGTAGTGACTACAGGGGGTCACTCGCGCCGAGTTTAGCTCCTGGAAACATATGGCGCAGACGTCGTTTAACTGAGCTAGTTCTTCTGCTGTGGCCTGTCGCAGAGACTGTATGTTGCTGACCGCTTTCCTACGCAGTAAGAAGCTCTTCCAGCCTTGCTGAGCGCGCTGCCACACGTTAAAGTAGCAGTGCACGATGATAACCGAGGCTCCGATCCAAGTCCACTCCCCGAACAGAGCTTCCTTCGCGCCGTAGTACACGACGCACAGCGCCACAATGAATTCTAACGTCTTGCAGGTCGCTTTTATGGCGTACACGATGTCGTCCAGGTTTTCCCACGGTTCGTTGCGATATCCGTCGATCATGAAGAGCGTGTACATGAACATCGACGCCACGGCGTGCAGAGAGGTGAGAATACAGCTCGAAATGATGATCAGCAACCACAGATCAACATCAAAGAAGCTACTGATGAGGAAAGTCATGTACAAGGGGAAGGTGAGCAGGAAAAGGCACATGGTGATAGACCGGAGGTGCTTCCAGAAGCTTTTATTCTGCGACGCACCCAGAGCCAAAAGTATGGGCTCGGTAATCTCATGCATAGACTGGATTGTAGACGCTAGGACAATGAAAAGGACAATACTGAGTAGGAAGGTTCTTTGTACACTCTTGAGTTCAAGTAAACCAGTTTGTAGTGCCAGTAGCAGTAGTGTCAGCCCCTCGGTGACTCCTCTGTGCATGATGTTGTCATGCATAAAGGCTTCAAACCCCTGGAGGTACAGCTTGGTTAGGGTGAGTATGAGCTGGGCTACGTACGACACGGTAAAACACAGTCCGAGGAGCGCGTACGGGCTTCCGCAGCACTCCGCCATACTGGCCAGGAGAAGGATGATCGTCCCCTCTTCAAGAACAGGGTGGTTGATGCTGCCCAGGAAAAGATACACCTGTACAGCAAATATGAAACACCAATACGCCAAAAACAGCGACGGTACAGCCAGCTTGTTCCACAAGTACAAGAAGTACGGGAACCAACCGACCACGGAGGTTACTGCCCTTACAGATTTCTGTGCCGCCAACACTAAGTTGTATGGCACAAATAAGTTCTTTGCGATAAAATACAGCACTTCTAGGGTGGTGAACAAAGCAGCAAAGGTGTGGAAGAGCTTTAAGCTTCCCAGAGGCATCATACAGAGTTTTGCTATGAGAGGAATCAATGAGGCTGAATAAGGCCACAATCGTCTGTCACCAATGAGGTAGGAACATGCCAGCGCGGCGAGGCTTTGCCCCACGAGATGGATGACGAATCGGTGGAAACTGTCGTCGTTGTAGAACACGAGGCCCTCGTAGCCCTGCTCCAGCTCGGCTGCAATGTAGGTGCCAGCTGCTAGGTGGCTGAGGAGAAGGATGACTGCTGAGAGGATGTGTGTGTAGAGCTGGATCAGCTTCTTGAGAGGCAGGAGGAAGATTGTCAGGGCAAGGATGTAACCTGGGGAAATAAAAATAGTGATTTAGCATGAAAGTTCATCTGTGTTGGTACAAGTCATTATGAATTAAAGACTAAGCTTTAACTTCCAACACTTAAATACAGAATTGGACTTACCCAATTCAGGGGGTGACACAAGTCATCTGGCACGTATGACCTGCTACTACATGTGCGCAAGGTCACGTGTCTCTGACGTCACGGTCCAAGAGTAGACGGGTCCATTCCGTGAACAAGGTTGATGGAGTCAACCGAAAATTTGGGTAAGTCTCAATTCTGTATTTAAGTGTTGGAAGTTATTTCATAAAAATAGTGATTCTTCATAGACAGTTTGAATTACTGTGTAAAGTGTGTATACTGTATATAATATAGAAACGTATCATTATTACATGTACAGCCTGTATGTCTAATAGGGACTACATCGGCATACAATTTCATTGTAGTTATCATCATGAGTAGAGTGTTTGCCTTGGATTTGAAAGGTTGTAAGTTTGATTCCTGTCTAATTATAAGTCACACCAAAGTAAAAATGTAAAAAGTTAGGTTTACTTTTAACTGTCCTACATTGTCTCATTGCAGGGCTCGAAATTCATTGATAGAGTGCATAGTTAAGTGCACTGGTGCACCCAATGTAAAAAATTAGGTGCACAAAAAATATTTGGTTGCTCCATATAAGTAGAATATCAGCAAAAACTAATTATGTTTCATTTCTACATACAGTAAATGTACTATAACAATCATTATGATAATATGTAAACCTACAAAAATATTTGGGTGCACTGGTGCACCCACAGAAAAGAATTAGGTGCACCGCTTCAATTTTGGGTGCAATAAGGTGCACATGCATTGTCATGTTCATCCTGTCCTTGGTGCTGAAATCACTATCACATGCATGTTAAAAGTAATAGTGCCCTTAATACTAGTTGTGCCAGGTGTTTTGCACTGTATGATTATGAGCAATCAATATGCAAACAATTCTTAGATTTCTTTTTTTCATTATTTATCATTTTTTCATATTCAGTAATGACCTTTGACGTCAAGCAAACACAGCAACTCTTGTAATAACACATTAAAATAATAACATCCAATCGAGTACATTGTTGAAATAAAAGGTCGCTGTGTTAGAATGTACTGATGTGTCATAACCATATAACCATAAGGCCACACCAATTTAATTTGTTGGTTCTCAGATTCGCCTCTTCATTTTTTGTCTGATTTGCAAAAAAAAAAAAAGGTTCCGTTCTGAATCAACTCAAAAATGCTGAGAAACTGAGAAAAGTCCTTTTCTTCCTAGTTTTTACAGTTTTTCCATCTGTCAATGCTGTGGTTTGAATCCGTTTGATTAAAAGTTCAAAATCTATTGTTTAAATATCAATCCAGCCTTTTGAGTTGACTTCATGGCTCCTATCATAGCATTTGTATAATAGGATGCCTAGACCTGTTTTCATTTATTTCTTTATTTTCTTTTTGCCCTACCTGTCGCTCCATATTTTTTCTGAAAAAATCCGAGGAACAACAAGTTAAAATGGTGTGGCCTAAGCATAATTTACAATGTCCAATGTTACAAATGTTAAAAGTTTTGGGTTTATTTAAGTATCGATTTCATTCTACTTTTTTACCATTTGGTAAAGGGTGTTTAGTATCAATAATGCTAAATGTTATTAAAATATCCTTTAGCATGGCTTGTACCGGTATTTCATTTAACTCACCCAGAATGTAAGCGTTCCATGACAGGTACTGGAAGCTGAAGTTCTGTTGATGAATCCCTCTGTAGGGCAGGTATTTGCCGACACTGTCCTCCCACAGGTACAGCACCTCCAGTAGGAGCAGGGATGGAACCCTCAATACCACACCTAATCCTCTCTCCACCCAGCCTGATACATGTTCTCTCAGGGGCATGGTTGTGCTGTGTATAATGATAAAAATAAAAAAACATTGTCACAACATTTAAGGGTTAATGACCCACCCCGAGGTGAATATGGTGTGATATAGCCTTGTCAGTTGCTATAACCACCGAATAAAGCCACCGAGTGAGCGCAGTCACTGAGTCACACATCATGTGGAGGATCACAGGTTGTAGATATATGTATTATATGTATGTATTGTTGATTACTTAAGTATGTCATACGTGGGCTGAAAGCCTGCAATAGCATTAAATACAGGTGTTCTGGCCCGTGTGACAACTAGCCATATCACACAGAGTTCTAAGTTTATCACACAGGTTTCCACGTGTCACAATAATATAGCATTAATGCTCTCAGAGGCATTGTTGTGCTGTGTATATGTGAGGAAAAAAGGGTCAACTGCAGTTCAAAACACAGCTGCTAGGGGTGTTGGAAATATTCTACAGTAAAGAGGGAACCCTCAGTACTACATGGTTGTGCTGTGTATAATAAAAAGGAAAACAACAAAAAACAATGTCACAACAATATAGCATTAATGCTCTCTCAGAAACATTGTTGTGCTGTGTATGTGTGAAAAAAAAGCTCAACTGCAGTTCAAAACACAGCTGCTAGGGGTGGTGAAAATATTTTACAACGGAGAGGGGACTCTCAGTACTACATGCATATGGTTTAGCCTGGGTATACAAAGCTCTCGGCCGGAGGTTAATGACCCCAACCTAGGGGCGGCGGCCGCCAGGAGCGCGATTTAGTCAGGCTAGCATATGGTTGTGCTATGTATAATGAAAAAGAAAAAAAAAACAATGTCACAACAATATAGCATTAATACTCTCTCAGAGGCATTGTTGTGCTGTGTATGTGTGAAATAAAAGGGTCAATTGCAGTTCAAAACACAGCTGCTAGGGGTGGTGAAAATAGAGAGGGAACTCTCAGTACCATACCCAGCCTGATACATGATCTCTCAGGGGCATGGTTGTGCTTTTTTTGTGTGAAATAAAATTGTCAACTGCAGTTCTAAACACATCTGCTAGGGGTGGTGAATATAGGGAGGGAACCCTGAGTACCACACCCACTCCTCTCTCCACCCAGCCTGATACATGTTCTCTCAGGGGCATGGTTGTGCTATGTGTGTGTGTACTCCATCTAGTATGTTTGAAATAAAAGTGTCAACTGCAGTTCAAAACAGTCTGCTAGGGGGTGGAAGAAATATTTTACAGTGGAAATCTAGATCCACCTACCCTGACATGCACATATATAATTATAACATTTATACATTTCAGATGGAAATGATACAATGTTTCTAGATCTATTTTTTTCGCAAATAATCTTTGTAGATAACGTTAACATTATCTTAGCCTAAAATTAGTTGCCGAGTAATATATATCCCTACACGTTATTTGCGGACAGGACGAAACAAACTAGGCAAACAGGTTGGGGCACCTGACCTGGATGGCAACAAAAAACATAAATTATTTTGTGACTTGTCGACTCTATGGTCTTTCGATAAAATAGACTTACTGAGGACATTTGGCGATCCTTTCATACATAAATAGTTGTGCCAAAACATAGATGTGGTTCATCGTTATCCAAATCTATTCATATTAGTACTCTTTTATACTCACCGTGAACGAAAAACTGATCATGAACTTTGTAATCACAGAACTTCCGCATGATCGGCGGCCATGTTGGTACCAGTGACCTTATGACCTTTGGTTTCAGAGATGAACTTTACAAATTCTCGTTTCCGATCCTTAAATGCCTTATAAATACTTAAATAGACAAAGTATATGACTAGAAGGATTCAAATTTTAACCAAAATTTTATTTTTGCACACGCAGAAAATGTAAAATTCTTGACGCTTTCTGCGTTTCCCAGCATTCATCAGGCAAAATGGCTGTCGTCGAAGTCGTCTTCGAATTTTTACTTCCGCTTTCGATCAGAAATTTGCGATTTTAGGTCAATTCAACAAATTGTTTTCAGGAGAAAGGGGATCTAGGTATCTAAGATACAAATTATTAAGCGTATTTCATATTTCAATATTTATAAACGTCTAGGAAAGTCCCTGACGACGTCTTTTCTCCGACAAGAAAATACCGGTAAGTTGCGTTGTGAACGTTGAAATAATCTTATGTTCTTTTGGGCCACCGGTACCATGCATGTCTTTGAAGCATATGTTGCCCCTTTTTTAACAATATCAAATGGTACCTAACGTATGGCAGTGGTTATAACGAAAAGATTACATGTAAACCTGTATATACAATCATACAAGCTGAAACAACTGTTGCTTGCATGTATAATTTTCATGCTTCAGTTGTATGATCATCATCATCATCATAGCTTATCGCCAATCCACTCCAGCCAGTTCCGCGCTGCTTCATTGGCCTCCTGGAGATCTGTGTCTGTGCAGGTAGGACCAAGCCTGCAGCCGTGCATCAGGTGCTGGATGGTCTGGGGGTCCTCTCCGCAGCTGCAGGTTGTACTGGTGGACTTGCCCCACCGTGCCAGGTTGTCCCCTGTCCTGGCCACCTTAGCCCTTGCCCGGTTCAGGGCCACCCAGTCCCTTCTGCGCAAGTCTGTCCCTGGGGGCAGTGTCTCGCTGGGGGAAGGGAGTGCCCTGTTGTTACTTGGGTGACTCTCCTTCCACAGCTCTACCCTGAGGGTCGCTGGTGTCATACCCCCGAGGCCTCGGGCCGTCATGAAGCTGCGGCGGGATTTCAGACGTCGGGGGACCTCCTGGTGTCCGTATAACGGGTGCCTAGGATCACTGAGCTGCTTTTCTCGCTCTGTCCTTGTCTGGACACCTCGTCGGATGCCAGGTGGGCAGATACTTGCCAGTGTGTGCAGTGCTGACAGGGGGGTAGCCATCAGGTTACCGGTGATTGAGCGGCAGGCTCTATTCAGCTCCACATCAACCTTGTAAGCATGGGGTGACCTCTCCCATACTGCGGCGCAGTACTCAGCAGTGGAGTAGCACAAAGCCAGTGCTGTCTGCTTGAGGGTGTTGGGGTCCGCTCCCCAGCTGGAGTTTACCAGGTTGTAGAGAAGGCTGTTACGGGCAGACACCTTCTTCCTTAGCTTGGTGACGTGCTCTCTGAAGGACAGAGTCCTGTCAAGGGTGACACCAAGGTACACTGGGTGTGGGGTGTTTTCGAGTTCTTTTCCCTCCCAGGTGATTCTGAGTTTTCTCGATGCTGCATGGTTATTGAGGTGGAATGCGCAGACCTGGGTCTTCCCCGGGTTGGCGTTCAGGAACCACGTTCTGTAGTACCCTGATAAGGACTCCAGGGCGTCTTCAAGTCGCTTCTCAATGACTTTAAAGCTTTTCGACTGGGTTGCCAGGCAGAGGTCATCTGCGTAGATGAACCTCCGGATGTTGTTGAAAGTCGGCTGGTCATTGGTATATATGATCAGATGTTGTTTTAGCAACTGCACCAGAAAGCGACCTAGGCCTCCTACGTAAAGAATTATTTGTGATGTTGTTTACAGCATGTACGCCTTTTTTATGTGTAAAAATTGCGCTGCTCACATGTCAGTCATATTTTTGGTTGTTGTTGTTGTTTTACGGCTATTTTTCCGCTAGACGTCGTCTCCAGGTGCCATAATGAATAATTTATTCATTCTCTGTTTAGTCCTTTGTCTGTCAAGGTCGCTCAGGTACTTGTGCTCAGGTGGTTGTCCATAATTATTGGCAGTTAAGTTACATTACTAGAGCACGTCGGCAGAACGTACTGCGCCTGCGCAGAACCCTGTAGTATTTTCACGGTTTTCGATGGATTTTTGGTCAACGTTGCATTAGAATTTTTCCTGTTGCAGAGGATATCTTTTCCGAAATAACATTTGGAAACTACAGACGGAGTGTTAACCTTATATGCGCAAATACAACCTAATATATATGAGACGTTCTGCCGAAGTGCTATGTACAATACATAACAGGTTTGGCGCAGGTGCAGTGCGTTCTGCCGACGTGCTCATTACTAGCAGCTTGTTAATATTAATGTTAAAACTTTTACGTCCTTGTGAATACACACACTGGCCAAACACACTGGGTCAGAGATATGTCAGTTTTTTTTATAATTTATGGTGTAACTTGTAGCCACTCGGATATGAATTTTCCATGCATTTGTACACTGATATCAGCACGTCGGCAGAACGCACTGCACCTGCGCCAAACCCGTAATGTATTGTAATTTGTACATAGCACTTCAGCAGAATGTCTCATATAAGGTTGTACTAGCGCATATAAGGTTAACATCCCGTCTGTAGTTTCCAAATGTTATGTAGGAAAAGATATCCTCTGCAACAGGCAAAATTCTGACGCAACGTTGACCAAAAATCCACTGAAGAGTGAAAACCATGAAAATACAGGGTTCTGCGCAGGTGCAGTACGTTCTGCCGACGTGCTACTGATATCTGAGTAAAGCATGCATGTCACATGACAGGAGCATATTGAAGATATCTGGTATTGAATGGGACAATGTTGATGTTTTGGAAGCATAAATTGCATTAACTTTTGTCTGTTTTCTTGTTATGTTCATAGTGACTGCTGCTAGCATTATGACTGAGGGCCAAGATGTAACCTGGCGCTCTCGTGTGAAAGCCATCTTCGACGTGGTGTTCCGGGTTCCCTCCATCTATGTCATGGACTCCATCCTGAAGGACCAGCTCCCCATCCCATGGACCACTGAGTCACACATCATGTGGAGGATCACAGGTGCGTTTCAAACTTTGATGTTGAATATAATGTTAATTGCAAATGTAAACTGCATACAAATGTAGATATGATTAATTATGTGATACCTTAGGCTGCAATAGCATTAAATACAGGACTGTTCCCGCCCATGTGATAACTCACCCTTGTCCTGCGGGACCCATATATAGCACCAGGTGTATACTAGTAAGTACAATTTGGTGGTATTTCTCATCCAACACATCACACCCCAGTGAAACGCAAAGAATGCAGACATTTCCTCAACAGACAGCAACCATCGAACAAGTACAAAAACGTGCCTGCCGTACCATCCTTGGAAAGGACTATACTAACTATACATCAGCTCTACAACAGTGTGGTCTTGAGACACTGGAGAACAGGAGAGTCAACCTGTGCCGTAGGTTTGCAGTCAGCATGGAGAAGTCGGAGAGAACCGCTGATCTGCTACCTCCAACCCGGGGACAGTCGACCCGACGTGAACTCAGAAACTCTACAAAACGGACTCTCCCTACCACATGTACAACAAGATGTAACAACAGCCCTCTACCGTCCCTCTTAAGACTGTTGAACGAAATGAAATGATAGTGCTCGTAACTCTGTAAATGCCTCTCTTGTGCAATTTGTA